ACATACTTTGAGCAATTTAACTGATTATTAGTGATTATTGAGTGATTATGAAAGAGAAAATTGAATAGTATTTATTTCGATTATTATAATTTGGATTTTTTTAAAAAAATTTTTTGTTTACATATTATGGAAGCATCACGTAAACTCATTTGCAACATATATGAATTGATCGACGAGGGGGGTTCGAATTTTTCCAGAATCGATTTCCATATTAATATTGGGTAAAATACCTGACTGTATTTTATTGAATGAAGGTTAGAGATCTTTTAGATCCAAAATAGATTTTTAGACTTTAAAGTTCTTTATTTTTTCGAAGAAAAATCACCAAATCCTGGAGCATGACCGAAAAATTAACAACAACAATTGCAAAACTGAATCAATTCGGCGTCGACAACAAAAAAAGTACAAATGAAAAGAATACACACCCTTTACATGCATGCCTAAGGTGAATGGAAGAGAGAGGGCTCTACTTTTTGTATTATTGAATAAGAGAAAGTACTTTTGATGAAAATTCGGAAATGAGGTCGCAGAAACAAACCAAAGGTAAAAACATCATTTTTTCAATATTCCAAGGAGTTATTTATTAATAAATGTATGAACTGAAAACTGTGACACTGGAAATTCTAACAATATCAACATTGCTGATAATACTGTCAACAATACTCGCCAACTTATGGCTCGTATTATACTTGAAGGTGATCCTAATATTTTTGATCCAAGCAATGAAAATTTACAGGTCTATCCACAGGGTATCTTGATTCATTAGGATAACAGTATTTGTTCTTATTAACGAAAAAAAATTTCTAAAAATAATTTAAAATACTGAATTACAAGATAAATATTAAACTCACATACACAGTAAGTCTCGGTATAGCGGATGTCTAATAAAACTCTCGGTTTAACGGATCAAAGCTCAGAACCGTCTATAAGTAAATTCTCTCGGTTTAACGGATTTACTTGAATTAATCTCGGTATAACGGATTTTTGAAATTTTTGTTCTAATTGCCCAAATTATCCGCTATACCGAGACTCACTGTGTATACACAATATCATATTAATATATGTAATAAAAAAATAATATCAGAAGTAGCCAGCCAAGCTTCATCAACCACAAGCTATGCTATAATCAAATCAGTCACAATCAATCGCTAGGTTGTAGTGCAGTCAACCATCATCACCATCACTATAACAACATCCACGGGCTAATTATAATAATGAAACTCTGATGTGTATGAATAAAAATTTTTTCTTCAACTCATATAACATGTCATGTACTGCAATAATAACAACAACATTGTCATCGGAAGTAGCAGTAACTACAGCACTATTATAACTCCCTCTTCAAGTTGTTCACATTCACCACTTCAAGATCCGTTTAAAAATTTCGATCAACTCAACACAGGTTTGTTTTCGCAACCAATTCAATCTTTATCTGAAAACATTAATGTTTTTTGGGCTTGATCCGAATGCATTATCATTGGCTACGAAGATTGATTTTGATATAATTTGTTAACGAACAGTTTGTTAGATAATTAATAGTTCTATACCAATGAATGGACCACATCTGGGTTACTTGAAAACAGCAGCATTTATTTCATGTGCAAATATTTCGATTCTCCTATTGATGCAACCATTAATTGGAAATAATGTTTTTTGTATATATACGTATCATGTCATCATAATCATCAGTGAAAAACCTGTATTATAGATTTCAAAAAAAATAAATTCTTTACATATATTATCCACACGAAAAGCATTTCAAGCCCTTCACCTTTACTCTCATCTATGTGAGAATGCCATTTTAAATAAATAATTCCATGATTATTTATTATTCAATTAACTTGTTGATTTATATTTTTCTTATTCTTATTATTATTATTGAGTGATAAGAAAAAATAGCTATTTGACGAAAAGTTTAGGAAAAAAAAAATCAACCCTTTAAATAGTTTTTTTTTTGACAAGAGATATAAAAATAATAAAAAAATAAGGTTATAATAATTACAAAGAAAGAATGAATGTAATTGGTACATTTTTTTTTACTTTTTTTGGCCTGGGACGCAGCAAGTAAACAAGTACAAACAAATATTTATAATAATAATAATAAATAATAATAATAATAAAAAGAAAAAAAAATAATAATAATAAACGTCAATTCTCCCGATGTCGCAATGTGTTTATTATTAGCAAAGAAAAAATATTGACAAGCAAATTCATAATAAAATTTACCCTTTATCGCATTTATAAATTGTTTATTAGTATTAGACAGGCTGATGTTGATTGGCGAAATGTTATTAGTCAAAAATGACGCAAGTAAAAACCTTGACGTAGCTTTAGATATACAAACTCGCAAAATAACATATAAATATATGTTCCTCTTCAATTTGGCACCAAAAACAAATGAACACAATAAACCGCGAATATGTTTACTATCAATATTGTGACTAATACTCACAATTGCATATTTTGTTAATATAACCGTGACCAAGAAAGAGCGTAATAGTAAAAGCAAGTAGAAAATAACATTTTATTATAATGTGTAATGTTGCTATTTTTCTTTTTTTTTAAATACCACGAAAACTGAAGCATTGTTATTTTCCTTAGTCATTATATATAAATTCATTAATTTTCTAGATAACTTTAATCAATTTTTTTACATCAAGTTTCTTACTTGTATTAAACGTTTTTAATTACGTCAAGTGTTTTAATGATATATGTGATACATGTCATCCAATTAATACATTATAATTGGTTTAATGTGTGTAACCTGGCGGAAAATTTGAATCGATTATTTTACGAGGAAAATAGTAAATTTTGTTTTTTAGTATTTAACCTGATAATAATTCGTTTTGATTAATTAATTTCTTTTTTCATTTATTAATTTAAAATTTGAAATTTGGAATTCGGAATTCGAAATTTTATTTTTATAAAAAAAATGTCACGTAATAATAAGAAGAAACAGCAAAACCAGTTCCAGAAGCTACAACAAGAATTTCAACAACTCCGGCAGCAATTCCAAAAACTCCAGCAACAACAGCAGCAGGAATCCCAACAGTTCCAGAATCTGAAACAAGAATTTCAACAACTCCAGCAGCAATTACAACAATCTCAGAAGTTGCAACAACAACTATTTCAAGTACTTCAACCACCTCAGCAACAATTCCAACAACAGCAAACTGGTACTCGATTGTTACAACAGACCAATACATATCCAACAAATTCATCATCTCGCCATAATTGTACTCGTGCATGTGATAGCTGTATTGATGCGCATGCCAAGTGTAATATGAGAGAGGGGTTTTCTTTGTGTGATAGATGTATTGATAATAATAATAAGAATTGCAGTTTTAAAAAACCTCACAAAAGTAGAGGCAGACCTAGCAAAAACAAACCAAAGGTAAAACATCCTTTTTTCAATATTCTTTCTTTGTTCCAAATAGTTATTTATTTCCTTAATTAATAGATGAATGGAACTGAAAACAGCAATTCTAATGCTGTCAACGTTGCTGATAATGCTGTCAATGATACTCATCGTGGTCTAATTGAAGGTGTGAAGAATATTATTGAATCTGGCAATGAAGATTTACAAGTCAATCCACAAGGTATATTAATTCGTTATGATAATATTGACAAAAGCATTAGTAATAATAGTAGTAGTAATAATAAAAATAAAATAAAAACAAACACTACTGATACGTCATGTTTTCGTAAAGACAACGTTGATTTGGTTAATGGTCATGTTATACGTGAAGGTGGCGTTATTAATTTGAGTTCAAGCATTGAAGATTTGCAAGTCTATCCTATACAATCACAAGGTAACTTGATCCATTATGATAATATTGATAAAAGTATTAGTAATAATAGTAGCAATAATAAAAATAAAAATAAAAAGCAAACACTGCTAACAATAATAACATATCTGATGCGTACATATTTTAATAAATCTAGATAATGTCAATAGTCATGATAATACTGATTTATCACCGCATGAACAATTGACACAACCTATGGCTCTATGTGGTCCAAGCAATGAAGCCTATACACAAGGTATCTTGATTCATTATGATAATATTGATAAAGTATTAGTAATATATATAATAAAAATAAAAATAAAAAGCAAACACTGCTAACAATAATAACATACCTGATGCGCACATATTTTCATTAATCTAGATAATGTCAATAGTCGTGACAATACTGATTTATCACTGCATGAACAATTGACACAACCTATAGCTCTATGTGGTCCAAGCAATGAAGCCTATACACAAGGTATCTTGATTCATTATGATAATATTGATAAAAGTATTAGTAATAATAGTAGCAATAATAAAAATAAAAATAAAAAGCAAACACTGCTAACAATAATAACATATCTGATGCGTACATATTTTAATAAATCTAGGTAATGCAGATAGTCATGACAATACTAATTTATCACCATATGAGCAATTGATGCAACCTATGACTCTATGTCCAAGCAATGAAGCCTATCCACAAGGTATCTTGATTCATTATGATAATATTGATAAAAGTATTAGTAATAACAATAATATATGTACATATTTCTGTATACTGCAAGTAATGTAAATTAATTAATTTTTTTGTTATTAACAAAAAAATTTTTTATATATGTAATTTTCTTAAAAAAATTTGTAGGAGGTAATCGTTGGAGTACTGAGGGCTGTGTCTTACCAACCTCAACCTATAATCATCAAACCAATTATCAGCAACAATCAAGCCATGATGATTATTTTGATACGTATTTATATACGTATGAGTAATTGATGCAGTCATCGGGTGTTATTGATCCAGCGGTTTAAACACCACCATAATAACTACGACCAACACCTGTATGTAATAGTAAATAAAAATTTTCTTATATATACCTATTTTTCATATATGTATATATATATATATATATATAGATCTTGCGCTCTTTTTCCTTTACATTTATTTTAAAGATATATATATTCCATTCTTTTTTTAAAAAAAAAAAAATAAATGGTCCGTCCGTGTAACAGAAATTTGTAAATTAATAAATGTCCTGTCCATTTATCTATTACTATCCATTTTATATTTTCGTGTAATTGTGCATTATTATTAAAGGATATTTCTTACAATATACAAATAAATATTAATATTAATATCACAAATGTACAGAATTTCCATAAATAAATTTTCTATGGTGGAGGGGGACCTGACACCACATATTATAGTTGTAATTTGAATCGTTTCGTGTGTTTAAGTTTCACGCACAACAGAATCAAAATCTGATTTCGAATAATAATTAACTAGAGTATCTAATATTTTATTAGTTATTTCATTACTTATGTAGGTACAAAAATCAGACTTTTTAAAAATAATCAAAGCTAATGAAATAAATTAAAGGCAGATATTTATTAAGCATGCCTGGGTTTTACCAGCAATAAGATGATTTATAATTAGTTTTGGGCAAATTATCTCTATTCAATTATTCTTTATTTTAATAATTTAAGTTATTTACATGTGTTTGTATACTCGTGAATATAATAATTACTGATTACATTTTAAAAAGGTGAAGGAAATCTCCAGAAACAGTTTATCTGAACCATTTCAAATTAGAATCAAATCAATAATAAAAAACTTTGGTCCAATGAACTTGATTTCACCGATCCTCTTGCATCATCAATAATTTCCCTCATTCTTGATACAAAGCTCAATTTACAATGGAAGAATGGGAGCTGATGAAAAATACAGTTGATATCCTTTATCATGCTAAAGATTTTGAAAATATGATTTCCAAAAACAATATTGATGAATGAAATTTATTGATTTAAAAAATGATTTTTTTAAAATCTTTTTTAGCTATTACATCAGAAAGAGTAAAGTGTATGAAGGAATGGATGGATACTTCCATAAATGAGGGTAGCTGGCAGTTAGATGCTTTATCAATTTCTTTAAAGACAGCCACTAGAGAGATAGAATGGCTAAACTAGCAGTGTATGTGAGATCATACATATTATTGTGTATTATGGTAGGATAATCATTATAGTTTATGCAATTTTCTGACGTTATTTGATTTATATTTAACGAGCTGAAAAAATTAATGATGGTTTAAAATGGATTAGGCAAGAAAACGAGAATCAGGTTTTGATAAAAGTAATTATTATTTTTTTTATGAATATTCCAAATCGATTTAAAGGAAATTAGAACACAAATCAGAACTATTTTCGACCATTTTGACTTCATGTATATCCTCTACTATATGCTTTTGTTGAATCAAATGAATAGGCTTTAAGCTATCTTTAATTAATATAAAAGGCACTTTAAATTTTATTGAAAATGTAAAGGTGCACTAATAATATGCATACTATTTTATATTATTATTTATTATATGGGCAAAAATAATCGGTATGAAGCATAGAATATTATACAGGAAAGTATATTTTAGTAAGGAACGTTTTGGATGGTGATATATTCGCTAAATATTCAAGTCTATAAGTGAATAAATAAATGTTTTAATGTGACTTGGTTCATATGAAATAATTTGAATTCTGCATAAAAGAGTTGCCTTTGGAAATAAATAGTTTTAAAAGTCGAAAAAATATTTACCTGGCGCAATAATTGCATTTGGCTTTTCCATCCGTAACTGCAAAATGGTTTCGCGCTTCATTTTTTGTTCTTGGAAGCCATCGAAGAGGCATCATTTTCAACAATGCAATTATTGTCATTCATCATTATTATTTATCAATGAATTGTGCAATTGTAAATTATATTGCTTTTATTTATTATCATTATTAATATTAATACTAACAATGCAATGAACCCTATCTGCGTTACAACAAATTTTTCATTGGAATGTTATAGTGTTGGTTTCCAAAACTCGAGAGTTTCGCAACCGTGCAAAAGTCAATTCGTTGATATCAATAAACAGAATTTTTTTTTATTTCGTAACACAAATTCTTATTTAAATTATCCATTTTATTCGAATAAACATTCAGTGTATTTGTATTTTCAATGTCCAAATCCATAATGAACAAATAAAATCACTCGAATAAACGTTATCCGAATAAAAACCTATTAATATGACATCAAAAAAAAATTTAGAATCCGATTTGATTCGAATTGAATCGGATCACCTTAAAATTCAACTCGGTTCGATGTATATTTTCTATGAATTGATACGAGAGAGCTGTCATCCAGTATAGGTCAGTAATGTTAAATAGAAGATATTAAAGGTATTAGAACAGTTATTTGGATTCATTCAAGAAGACAGGATAGTAATAAGTAAATTCAAATGTTAATTTTTTAATTCACGATTTATCCAACAATTGGTGATAAGTTATACGGGTAACACTAATTAATTTATGGTTGGAGATTGAGAATGCCACCCAGAACTTCTCACAGATTCAAAAAATTTTCTCTTTCTATAATAACATCTCTCTCTATAGCAATCAGAGGCACAAAATTACATATTCGTTACAGAGAAAATGAACAACATAATCAATTATTAAAAACGTCAACATTTTCTGTATAAATAATAATTATATTATTAAAAATAAATTATTGTCAACACGGAATTATTTTAATATTTGTTATACAATTAAATTCGAAAATTTAATATTAAATAATATTAATATTAATATTTCTTTATCTGTAAATTGCCACATGATCTTTTTTGTTCTTATGATTTTAAGTAATATCAAGCCATTATAATTTCGTGAAACTTCAAGAGGTATTTAAGCATCTTGAAGTAGGTAACTTTCAGATAGATAACTTTTCAAACATATAACTTTGTAATAACTAATTAACATTGAAATAAACATATTTTAAATTATTATCTCTTATATACAAATTGTTAAAGAGACAAAGCCATTGTGAATTATTTTGGTAGCCCTTTCTAATGATTAATTGTTTAATTATTAATTAGGAACCCTTTTAAATCTACTATATACTGCTTGTAGGGACGTCTCAAATAGTATATTTATTTTATTTTTTATTTATTGTCAATTAAAAATAACAGTGGTGGCGGTTGCGGCTAGCAGCCGACGGAAGCCTAGTTGAGAACTCGTTCACACATTTGCAATATCATTATATTTTTAAATATATTGTAAATAGTATGATATGAAATTTTAATATATAAATTAAATATGTTGATATTATACGGTAAAGATGATAAAGGTATTTTTATTTTTTTAAGCTGTTTGTTATATCAAAATTTTAACCTAGAATCTCAAATAATTTTTTTCGGAATAATGAATGATGACACAACGGTGCTTATTATTATTATCTCTAATACAGTCAGGGAATATACTAAATATGGAAATAGAATCTAGAAAATTTGGGACCCCTTTGTTGATCGTCTATAATCATTAATTGCTTAATCATTTTCAATAAATGATAAACAAAGTTTGAACAATTATTGTTTTATACGATAATTTCAAATAACTTGCCTTTCACCTTTCTAGAAATCAAGAAATTAAATTGTTTAATTTTTTCACATGGACTATCTCTCCTAACTCGAAAAACCATAAGTGGGAAAGCACTGAAATGAATTCTATGCCAGAAGAAATATATTCAGTCAAATAAGGATGAAATTGAAATTGCAAGAGTTGGGATTCTATTGTAAATGAACGAAAATCATCTTTCTAATGATGATGATGAATATATGAATTCTTCAGAATTTGAAACAGACAGATTGTGTTAGGTAGAAGAAGAAAGTACATCACGCAGAAGACAATTCAATGAAATGATCAATTAGGACCGCCAAACAACCTTTTTGGACAGTACTAAAAGCATTTTTAATTGGTTTTTTGTTCTGTTTTTTTGTTTATTAGAGAAAATTGATTTGCACCAATGACGTTGCTCAATTTTATATGAGATCACCATTTGTCAACCCTAGTCTTGATTAATTTTCCGTGGAAAAATTTTCACTTTTTTCATATTAATTAATTTATTTTGTCAGTTTGTAATTTTTTATACATATTAATTTTAACAAAAAATGAAAACGAACAAACTCTTGTCCTGCATGCGATGTGTGTCGTGAAGCACATCATATGTGCAAAATTATAAATAGTTCACCTATTTGCAACAGGTATCTTGACATTAATGTAAAATGCACATTCAATAAATCTCTCAAAAAGAGAAGTCGTAAACGTGGATCAAAAAACAATAATAAAGGTAAAAAATCCACTTTTTTCAAAAAAATTTCTTTGTTTCAAATATTTATTTTATTATCGAAAAATGAAACAGAAATTCTCCCAACGAATTTATAATTAATTTTAATTTACAAGGGAATTATGATAATATTGATAGAAGTATTAATAATAATAGTAGCAACAATAAAAATAAAAATAAAAAGCAAATACCTGATGTGTACATATTTTCGTAAATCTAGGCAATAATATTTGTTTGTCACCATACGAACAATAGATGCCTATGGCAGATGGGCGTTCTATATGAGATGGCGAACGAAATATTTTTAATTTAAGTCATTATAATAATATTGATAGAAGTATTAGTAATAGTTAATAACAATAATACTAATAATATATATACAATATCATATATGTAATTTTTTTGAAAATACGTCAGGTCCTGAGTTCTATGAAACATATTTGTCGTATGAGCTATATTTGCAACCAGGTGTTATTCATAGCCCAGAGATGGAGCAACAACCACAACCACCACTACAACAGTTACAAATGTTTGGTGACTTTAAATGCTCATAATTATTTTGGATGATCTTATGTTTTGGATGTTCATAATTATTCATTACTTCAGATATTTGTATAAATTAAAAATTTTTTTTGCGCAAAAATTATTCTTTTGTTTTCATTTTAAAAAAAACATCTTGGCTTTTGTATTTATATTTATATATTTTTAATATTAAAAAAAAAGACAACTAAAATTATAAAATTATCTACATTCCGTTATCATCATCATTATTGTAATTAGCAAAGAAAAAATTTGTTGAACAAATTCATAATGAAGTTTTAAAGGAATAAAATAAAAAATAGGATTGCTATTTCTCACTGGTGAGAAATAGCAACTCCAGTAAAAAATTATAGACTAACAGGGCTTATCAGTATTAAATTAAATATTAATGTTAATATGTCATCTGAGTAATTCTACTTCAAATAAATAATCCTGTAATATAATAATAAAATTAATATTTATTCTGTTAAAAACTTTAGTAGATAATCCCAATAATAACTGTCTTGGCAGCAAAAGATTTATTTATTTTAATACTGTAATAGGCTGCAAATTAATTTTCCATGAATAATAAATATCAGCCGCAAAATTTTTTTAATATAAAACCACAGTAAGTTTCTCGTATGGAGATTTAACAAATTTCAACCAATAAAAAGTAAGAATAAAAAAGATACATGTTACTAATCCAATCGTTTTATTCTTAAAGAGGTCTATATTCATATTTTAAAAAGGTTAAATACCATCACTAGATGAAACTGTTTGTTCGATTTCTTGGTGGAGAAATAATGTTCTATAAGAATATTTACTGTTTTTTTTTCCTTTGATAGTCGCATAAAAAGCATCAGATAGATTGTTTAATCATAGATCAGTTTTTCCTGAAAGGGGTAACAAAGCATCAATTAATTCTTTATATAATTAATCTCTGATAAAATAATATTTTCCTTGATGGTTATGTTGTGCGTGAAAATGAAATTTATGTGAATTTGCAATTCACATACGTGAAATACAAAATTAGCCAATCAGAATTCTATATCACATAGTTTAAATTTCCGCATATAACATTACTACCTCTGCTAAAATAATTTTTCTTTTTTTTTTTCCTTGATACCATAGTGGAAATTTGAAATTTTTTACATTGTGCAACGTAATTTTACAATACACGACAATAAAAATGTAAGTGGTAAACTGGATTTGAATTGGATCTGAATTTAGAGAGGTAACAACTATATACTGGTGAAGTTTCAGGAGCGATGGGTTCTATATAACATTTCGTGTAACAACAAATTTCCGCTATGCTATACAGTGTGTAACGAAAATTATGACGATTCATGAGCAAACAATAAATGTGATTCACATATCTTTACCAGCTTTCTTTATCTCTCATTAAAGACATTTATAAGATAAAAAGGCTTCGTCTACATTTACTTTCTGGCATTTTATAAGCACGTGTTACACAAAGTTGAGACCTAACTTTTCACATTATTTACATTACTGGCCTGACAATGCTTGTTCATAATACACCAGGAAGTGAATATTCCCTTTAATACCGTTGAACATTACTTCAAAATGCCTAAATAATGAGTACTATTGAACATAAGCAGGTAATGGCTATCTGATCCAAGCTTTTTTTCAAATAATCTTATATGCGAAATCAAGCTACAATCTGATATGATCTTTTTGTATAATTATTATTATACATTTTTCATTAGATCAATTATTAAAAAATTTCATGTCAAATGATGATCCTGGATTGATCAAAGATGATACATTGTTAAGCATCTATTTTTAGGGAAGAATTTAAACCAGCAAGTGAACGGTGGTGTCAACTATATGCCATAATTTCATTAAAAGGAGCATCCAAGTTTGTTAATTGCATTATACCAGATGTTCTTATGGAATGATTTACTATGCGTTGTTTACCAATATTACAATCTTCACAGATTTGTTTAAAGTATTTAAGTGAATTTTTTCCTAGGTTTGTATCTGAAAACTATTTGCATTTTCAATATTAGTTTATTTTCTATCTTAAAAAAACATCGGGCATTCATAATGAGCTGGTCTGTTTCAATAATACTTGTACAGGTTAAATTTACTGTTGGTGTCAGCTGGTATTTCACAAACTCGACCATTATTATCCATATCATCAAGATCACCAGCATAATTTATTTTCCTGGGAAGTGACACAGTTACACTTTTATCATCATTTAGTCTTACCCAAAAATCTTTAAGTTCTTTAGATCTCCTTCACGAAATCTACATATATACGAAGCCAAAAGATCCTTTTTTTGTGAGAAGAGGTGTTCATTCGGATTCAACAATGTGTATCGGATTTTGTCCTTCTAGCATTATCTTAAATTTATTTGATTTTGCCCAACAGTGTCTGCGATAATTTTGGATATTCGTTTTATCAAATAAATTTTCAGCCAAGTTTGGTATATCTTGTTTAAGTCCTCATACTATTGCATAAAAACCAACATATAATGAATGTGGATTATAGAAATCTCCATTGTTTTTGTTAACACAAAAAAAAATTTATGTAATTACATTTGTAACTGTTCTTTGTTATACTTTTAATATCACCATTGAAATTGGTTTCCTGACGAATTTTTTAAATAATTTAATGTTGAAATCTTTATATTTACCACATTTGAGTATAAAATTACACCACCCAATTCTTTGCCTGTAGGAATGTAAAACCTTTTCTAATTATCATTGATACAAATTTTATCAGCTTCATTTGTAAATTTGTTTAAGGCTGTTGTATGTGAAATTGAAATTGAAATATTATGGAGTGGGGTGAAATTCTGATTGGTTAATTTGAATTTCACGTATGTGAATTGCGAATTCACATAATTTCATTTTCACGTATAACAAGGCCAAGAAATTTAAAATAACAATAAAAATTTCATCGAAAATCGATATCAGGTGGTACAACACAACAATTTTCCCGTTAGAGAAACTGGTAAAGGAATAAAAAATTATAGATTGATTATTTATTAGACAGGCTTATCGGAATTAATATATAATACACGTCATTTAAGTAATCCTGCCTCAAATAAAAAAATATCGTGGTAAAGCTTAAACATTGAGTTGATCGTAATTGGAAAACCCGTAATTACGACCAACACAATGGTGAAAATATTAGTTCATCATCATCATCATCAACATCATATCATTCATTGAATGAAAGGCAAATTGATCTTTTAAATCTAAAGATTAAGTTATTGGACCGTTAAAACTTTAAAGTTCTTTGAGGAAAAATTTAGTAAATAACTAACGTGAAATGAAAACTGTCTTGCTTGATAACAAAAGATATCTATTGTTTGTTTGTTTGTTTGTTTATTAATGTATCAGTATTAGTATATCAAAATTTTTTTTCCGTTACCGCAAAATTTTCAAAGGAATTTTTTTTTTAAATATAAATAAGGTTCCAAATAACCTTTCTCTTTAATAATCAAATGAAAATTTGATTGATTTTATTTCCCTTCGTCAATTTTAAAATTTTTTTTAATTAATTTCAACAATTATTTAAAAAAAAATGGATCAGTTCAGATCATGCCCACAGCCATCAGATAATAATTCAATATCATATTCACAACAATCTGGACTAAGTTCACAATTACGGAATTACCATACATATCTAATAACTTCACGACCGCAACCTGATCGTCGCCAACGGAAAAAAGCCAAAGGAAAGAAACCTTATGTAAAGCGCAATCATTCTCTTAATGCATGCGATCCATGCCGTGTATCACGTCTAAGATGTGAAAAGGAAGATGGCTCTGATGTTTGCAATAGGTGTATTGATGAAAAAAGAAAACAACATTGTATATTCAATAAATCTTTCAAAAAGAGAGGTCGTAAAAAAGGATCGAAAAATAGACCTAAGGTAAAAAAATCAAATTTTTTCAATATTCTTTCTTTGTTTCAATAATTATCTGTTTTAATTAATAGAAAAATGAAAATGAAAACTGTGATATCAACACTGCTGATAACACTGTCACTGATGCTAAACCATGTTGTCAAAGTAACAATAAAGTAACAGCTGATGGTTATAATTTACGTGAAGATACTTTTAGTATTTTGAGTTCAAGCATAAGTCAATCATCAGGTATTAGTAATAGTAATAGCAATAATAAAAAAATAAAATAGCAAATGTTACTAATGATAATATACACGCAGATATTTCCGCAAACCCGGTTATTGTTGATAATCAATATTATAATGGTAATGGTGTAATTTATTTATTTATTCGCTCGCTCTTACTAACTAACAAAATTTTTTTAAGCACTTCCTGTTTTTAGTTATAATGATTATCGTAATGTTAATCCGCAGGGTAAATTGATAGAAATATTAAACACATACATCATATATACAATATCATATATGTAATTTTCTTAAAAAATTTTTAGGAGGTCATAATAATTGGCAACAACTGGAACAACAGCAACTGTTTCAAGGTAATAATAATATGTCGAATAGTTTAGCAATCTCAACCGATAATTATCAAACCAATGCTCAGCAACAATTAAGCCCTGTTGAGTACGAGTATGCTATGAATATGGTATTTATGCAATTATTTGGTGATTGTATTGATCCTGCGATGCAAACACCACCACAATAACTACGACTTTCAACACCTATGGGCTAATTATAAAGGTGATACTAAATCGATAAAAATTTTCTTTCTTATATCTATTTTTTCATATACGTACGCATTTTTTTTCCCTTTTAAAAATATATATTCTATCAACAAAATTTCATCTTTAAAAAAATATAAATATATTATATACTTTTTATCAAATTTCTTTTTTTTTTGGTTTTATTTTTTTAAAAAAATTTTTCGTTTTTTTTCCTTAAAAAATTTTTCATTCTTTTAAAAAAAAACTTTAAACTTTATAAATAAAATATTTTTAAATGGATCGTGTATATAATAATAACAACGAAAATTGTGAATAAAGATTAGTGGCATGTTATATGCTATCTGTTTAAAAGTACTTCATTAATAGTTCTTTTTCGTGTAGAATAAATAGAAACATATGTACAAAATATTGGTGTGTGTATATTATATTATATGCAGTATTTAACCTCTTTGAACTGCTGCCAACTAATTAATAATAATAATAATAACAATAATAATAGCAATTAATATTTAATACCAATGTTTAATTCACGCATGCTTTAATAAGATTTAAAGTAATTATTTATCTTTTTTTAAAATACATAGGTTAATAAATGAATCTAATTGGTTTTATTTACCATAAAATATATTTTTTTTAGAAAAAACTTTACTTATGTCTCTGCGAAAATACTTGCTAGACATAACATCATAGGCACCTCCATAATTTCAAGATATTTTGACTATTTCGAAAATAAAAAAAAAGTAATCGGGAAAAAAGAAATACCTCTCTGATTATTATTATTATTAACAATAAACAACGTTCTTCCTTCTGAACCATACTTTACCAAATTATTTAGATTTTGCCTCATTTAATTTAAAACAAAAATATTAATTTATAATAGAATATTCTTAAATTGATTCTCCGGATTCCTGTACTCGCAGTTCATTTTAACTTAAAATAATGGAATCCTGGAGATTTGTCAAATTTTATTGCAACAGTAAACAAATCAATATTGAAAAGTATTAATAATAGTAAATAAAATTTTAAAAAGGATTATTATCATTATTTATAAATTTGTTTGAGGCAAATAAGAAATCATCATATCAGGCGTGTATATATAATTTTTTTGTGCCGGCACAAAAAAAATTTCTGATTAAAAAATAATTTATAAGTTGTGCACTGTGTGTGCACGAATTTTATACACTGTCAGGCGGTACGAAATTACAGCAATAGTAACAACACAACAATTTTCCCTAGCGGGAAAATTGGTGTGTTTCATCAAGGAATAAAAAAATTATAGATTGATTAATTGAATTTATTTTTTATCGTATTTCATAGATTGATTATTTATTGGACAGACTTATTGGAATTAATATATAATACACACTGTAGTAAAGTTTAATGATCATAATTGGAAAACAAACAGCAATCACGATCAACACAATGGTGACATATTTCTCAGGCTGTGTGTAACCAATTACAGTCGGAAAAATTGGAAAATATAAAATTAAAAATATTGATATTAATATTAATTATCATCATTGAATGAAAGACAGATTGATCTTTTTATTTAATTTAAATCTAATTTTTAGACCGTTAAAAACTTCTTTATCTTTTTGAAGAAAAAATTTTAGCAAATAGATAACATAACTGTCTTTGATAACGTTATTTATTGTACAGTGTGAGACAAAAAACCGGTTTTTTTTATTACACACTATTAATGTATAAAAAAAATATTGTCAAATTTTTTCCGTCGTAAAATTTTTTAAAGGAAAATATAAATTTTTTTAATATAAATATAAACTTTTGTTTAAAAAAATTTTACTTGATTGATCTTTCGGCATCAATCTGTAATTTTAAATTTTTTTTATTTATAATTAATTTCAACCAAAAAAAATGTATCAGTTTCAATTAAACGAGCACCAAACTCACAATCAATTGGTTGAACACTATTGTATAGATCCATTACAATATTTGGGTAATAATATAGATATACAACGAGTGGATAACAATCAAATACCATATCCACAATCTTATACGGATCAATCGGCTTATCAGAATCAAATATCATATTCACCATCATCTTATACGGGTCAATCAACTTATATAGGTCTGAGACAGAATATATCATATCAACCAACTTATACGGATCCACATACTGATATAGATTCAAAATTATTCGATAATAATCAATTACAACAACCTGTACTAAGTTTTCAATTCGTAAATTACCCAAGTACAGAGACATATCTTTCTAACGAACAACAGGGTCATACGACGCCACAGTCCGAATATAGTGTATCGAAACCGGATGCATGTGGTATTCCAACAAACACACAACCGAAAAAGGATAAGGAACCTGATCTGACTCGATGCCAACAACAAAAAAAAGCAGAAACCAAAAAAGCAACAATCAAACGAAAACACACTTCTAATGCATGCCACTCGTGTCGTAAAGCACATATAGGGTGTAAAAAAGAAAACAAAGATTCTACTTCTTGCAATAGGTGTATTGAAGAGAATAAGTCATGTATTTTTGATGAAAAACCTGGAAAAAGAGGCCGCAAACCTGGTATCGGAAATAAACCTAAGGTAAAAAAATCATATTTTTTCAATATTCTTTCTTTGTTCAAGTAATTATTTATTTTTCTTAAAAATAGGAAAACAAAACAGAAAACTGTGATATCAATACTGCTGATAATACTGCCAAGGTTATTAAACAATGTCGTCATGGAAACAATAAAGTAGTGACTGATAATCTTAATTTAGAAAGTACTTTTAGTATTTTGAGTCCAAAAACACAAGGTAATAGCAATGATGAAAATAAAAATAAAAATAAAAATAAAAATAGTAGCAAATATTACTAATGGTAACATATACGTACATATTTCCGTAAATTCAGTTAATGTTGTTGTTGACGCTTATGTCAATCTTAATATTAATGGTATTTATAAGTAATGTAAATTAATTAATTTATTCGTTCGTTCTTATTAACAAAAAAAAAAATTTTTTTTAAGCATCTGCTTTTAATGATGGTAATGGTGATGACTTGCAAGGTAAATTGACAACAATATTAAATACAATATTATATATGTAACTTTCTTTAAAAAATTTGTAGGAGGTAATTGTTTGCAACAACTGGCGAGTGGCTATGCTTTACCAACCTCAACTTATAATCATCAAACCAATGACCAGCAACGATCAAATATTTATTTACATTGGGGGGATGAGTATCTTGCGGAACTTATGCAAACATTAGGTATTGTTATTGATCCACCTTCAACACCCGTGAGCTAATTATAATGTTGATATTAAATAAATAAAATTTTTCTTATTTATATCTATTTTTTCATATATGTATATACACATTTATTTGTTATACATAGATAGATAGATATTGCATTAAAAGATATATTTCATTCTTTTTCTTAAAAAAAATAAAGATTATAAATGAAAAAATTTTAAATGGAATTAATAATTCTTTTTCGTGTAATAGTCTAAAAAAGAAAACAGAAACATACATGCAAAATATTGTTTGTATATTTACGTATATAATAACAATAATAATAACAATAATAGGGTTATGTTAGTCTCGGTCTCAAAAGACCAGTATGTTTCTTTCTTAGGTTGACTCCTTGCATCAAGTACAATAAGTACATTTTTAGTGTGGTGCGCCTTATCTAAAGACATAAAAATTGCAAATTTTAAACCCTGATAACTGGAAATATTTGTTGGTCCATAAAAAACATTCTATTTTTGCAATCTTTGGAACAATGTAATAGAGAAATTTTTTAATAAAATAAAAAGTTATGGTGGTTTAAAATTAGGTAATATTATTACTAATACTAATGATACTAATACTAATGATACTAATACTAATAGTCGCAGATCAAGTGTCATTCAATATAAACGTTACACGAATAAAATTATTATCGTCCACTTCAAAAAAAAAA